GTTGGGAAAGAGCTTCTGCTGCCTCTCCAGATAACCCATTTTCCCTGTAACAACTCATTTTGTCAGGAACTTCTACATTAAATCCAATTGAATTCTTCTACTTTAATACTACAGTGTTGAAATTTCACTCTCTTCCCACCTTGTTGAAACTAGAGAACAGCTTGTGAGCAATCTCTTGATAATAACCCTCTATATGTTTAAAACAGCCTTTTCTTTCCAAAGTAATTTCTCCTGCATTTTCTTTTATACATTGCTATACTCTCCAAGCCTTTATACACTTCTCTTTCCCTATGGGTCATATTTAAACATTTTCATTTTTTCTGAAAAAATACTTTTGCAGAATTGGTCAATACCAAATATAGCATGCCATAGTGACTTTATAAGTTCTTTGCTCAATATTGTGTAATTCTATGGTAAGAGCATTTGTAGGAGTGAATTTGTACACTTTAGTTTTGGTTTATACCTACAGCCTAAGAGGGACCATCTAAGAAATTCAGATGACGGTTTCTTTAGAAGATTAGATTGGTGATATTTGGTGTTATCAATGGATGATAAAAATAGATGGTAAAATTTGATAACCAACAATATTTCTTTCATTTTCCATTAAGAATACAGAAAAATACAACTTACGTATTTTAAAATTATCTATGTACTGTATCTGCACTAATTTTCTCTATGCACTGTTCTACTTTATAACAATTTAACATATTCAGTAATAGAGCAAGGGAAGTGAATTTATTTTTGACAGAAATAAAAGTGTTATTTGTGAGCAATAGAGCATGCTTCTACATGTTTTCAAAGTATGATTCTTTAACAAAGAAATTCCTACTAAGTGTCATGGGTCAGAGAAAGTTCAAAGAAGGAAAACCTGCTGTTAGTTTCACTAAAAAGCTAAAACAAAAGAAGGACAATAAATGCCTCTAGCAATAAAGGCTGATGGTGAGAGAGTAGCTTTGTCAGAGTGTATAGCTGTTGTTTTGTATAATGACAGACTGGACTGAAGAAAACGAGATGTTAGATTCATCTAAATGTAGGCAGACAGTGTAGTATCTGTTTGAGAATATAAACTGAGAACTCTGGAAGTAAGGACAGTGTCTGGCATGTAGTTGGCTCTCATAACCTTCTGACTTCCTTCAGGGCCTGGTTTTTCAAAGGACTCCAGTCTGTTTAGTTTCACAAGATGAACTATACAAAGCATATCTCTTGTTTTTTGTCTGCAATGCATTAATGAACACATCGTTTTTCCCTGAGAGTGGAGGTATATCTAAAACATGCTATCTGTAACATGGTGAAAAAGGCAATTTCTGACAGGATACCTGGAGTGACGCAGTAAGGCTTGAAGAACACAAAGTTGAAAACAATAAGATTTCATGTTTATGATTTTATCCTTGTTTGTCCCTCCAGCCATAATTGTATCAAATATTACTCTCTGTGGTATATACTTTGCATTCTGTCCTTCACTCCAGCCTTTGAATATAAATTTCTCTCATTTTCATACTCAATTTCTTTGTGCAGGTTAAATAAGGGAGATTTTTTAGGTGTGTATTAAATACTCAGTAAGACAGACATGATAATAAGCTATAAAAATATAAATAGATATACAATGTGAATAAGTTCTAGAGATCTGTTCAATATTGTGCCTATAGTTAACAATATTGAGTAGTTTACTTAATAGTTTATTAAGACATGATCACAGAAAAGAGGGAGAAAGAGAAACAGTAGTTCTAATGGAAATAAATATTTAGTGAAGTGTGACAAGACTAGACAGGAAAGGTAAGGACAACAGTATGCATGCAAATGTAGAAATAAATGGGAGCTTAGAGGAGGGCAAGAGATAGAAGTGTGGAGAATATGTAAATAGATTTTTTGGAGGGAGGACAGGAAGAAGTATAAAGGGTTATTATCAGTTAATAATAAGCAATTGATTGGATTAAGTAAAAATAATTTTTCAGAGTTAATAAATGTAACAAATATTCCTGAGCACTGTCCAAAAGCCAGGTTATTATGAAATATGCAAAATACAAATGAGGGATATAGTCATAAAATTCCTGTTTTCAGGACACTTAAACCACCACACTGTGCTGGCTATTCTGTTTCCCCTGCTGGTCACTATCTTCTTTCTCCTGTATTTTCTGTTGCCCATGCCTATACCCAGTGGGTTGTAAACTGACTTCTGGTTTATTTCTGTTTGGCTTCATGGAACCCACCAGAGAAGAACAGAAAGTATAAAAATGGAAGAAGTCAGGATTTGAATTTCCTGATCCTTTCCTCCTGCTGAGTGGCCTCTGGCCTTCTCTGTATCTCCAGCTCTCCCATTCTAGCATGATTACCTCTCTACTCCCTTGGTCGTTCAGGTTAACAGTGTTAATGAGTTCTTGGTGCAACTCGTCTACAAATGCCTCTGATTCTCTTCTTGATCTTCTTCTTCATCCTGCTCATGTGTCTTTAGCCTGACCATTTACTAAATTCTTTTGATCCATCTGAGTTGGATCCTAATTCTAGCTGGGTTCATGATGATACAGATAAATGGTATAGTATTGAAACGTGTGTAAATTTAAAAGTACACTAAAGGATATGACAACACACACAAATATTTGGGGAGAGAACACTGGATGTGAGTTAGACAGAGTGGTCACAGTTGGCCTCTGTAGGAGGTGATACTACATAGAGGCCACAGAAGTAGTGAGTGCCATCATGGATAAAAGAGGGAAAGATTGTTCTCAGTAGAGGAAACAGCACATGCAAAGATCACGAGATGGAAAAAAGCTTGACATGCTCCATTTCAGAATTGGATTATAGGACTCTACAAGAGACATCTGTTCAAATGCTCCATGAAGACGCACTAGAGGAAGAGTCAGCCTGTGTGGTCTGATCCCGACTGACATCTAGTGACAGATACTGAAGTTCCCAGAACAAAGGCCCACAAGAGCACCATGTTGTTGTAAGTGGGAAACAGCTGAGCCAAGCTGTGAGAACTAAGCAGATGCTCAGACATTAATTTCAAGTTGCTATGATCATGTTGGGACTCAGTGATGATCAATACATGATAATACGCTGAGAGGAATTAACACAAGTCAGGATGTTATTTTTTTTTTAATCTTGTTTATTTCACAAGGTTAGTTAAAGGTTAGTCATTAAAGGTTAGTCTTTGGTAGTGGTAGTTTTCTTTATGTTTTTTTCTTTCATTTAAAAAATCAAATGAAAGACCTTTACTGAGGTGAATTGTGTTTTTCACCTCCCTTTTACTTATTTATTTTTGGGAAGGGTGGGGTAGCAAAGGAGGAGTGAAGAAGTTGAGGAAAATAAAGTATTAAAAGAATATAAATGATTTAACTCTTGGCTCCTATTTAGAAAGAAAGGGCTTCAAGCATCAATTTACTAAACATATTTCATGGCTTCTAAAAGTGACTACATCTAACATATTAAATAAACCTGCCTGAGGAAATATTCTGTATTGTTTTTTTCCTATATAAATCTATTTTTCTAATTTGTTTTACAATATGACCTTCCTTTGTTTGTGGCTATGGTATAAATTCTGGCATTTAGGAATTATTTAACTGGAGGATATACTAAAACCTTTGGCATCAACATAGAATACATTATTTTTTCATTTATCAGAATTAAGGGTCTTATTGGGACATTTTCAGGAATACTTGATGCTATAACATTGGAAAATGTTTAAAAAACAGACTTTCAAGGTATTCCCAACCTTATATATTTAACTAATGTCTTTTAAAATTTTACTTTATTAGTACATGTGTGTAGTACATGAGATTTACATTCCTTGTGGAATGTTGGCACAGGTACATAACAATTTAATTCCTGTTTTCATCCCCTAATATCTTCAGATTTGGGAAGCTTCCTCAGATATCTCCTCCAATATACTTCAGGTGAATTTGATTTCTTAAAATATATTTTGATTTCTAGGTATCATTTTCTTAAAAGATAAATTACACAAAAATTTATTTTGATTTTTGTCTATTATGATTTTGCTTCTACTTAGATTTGAGAAGAACTACATAGACAAGTTATTTTAATTCTTTTACAAATTAAAACACATGGAGTTTTCTACGTTTATCCCCAAATCTCCAGTTACTGAGTTTTTCATATTTACTAATACTTTTCTCTCTTATAGGATAATCCTACAGTTCACAGCACATTTATGTAGCATGTTTTATCTCTAAGTACTTTATAGTTATGCTGTGGCAGTTAGTGTGACACCACTGAAGTTAGATGATTATAACTCTGATAGAGATGCATTTATGCAAATTATAATTATACAGTTTAGAAAGGACCCTGAGGTCTTATCATCCTAAAAAAAAGCACTGTGTTTAAAATAAATCATAATACTCTAATCAGCTATGATCAAAACACCACTTCTGGCTCTGATTCCAATACCCAAATTGTAAACATCATTGAAAGTGACTCAGAAATAGAATCACGAAATATGGCAGACATTAGGGTGTGATAAAAATCATCTCTCTGATTTAGGAATGATTACATGTTGTATATATTGATAGCTCAGGATGTCAAGTTATAATCTCAGGAGATATTGAAATAACCAATTTGTTCACTGTAACTATTACATTTATAATTGTTCATACTATTTTCTTATACCTTTTCAGAATCTACATCATATGCATGAGAACAGGTATGACTTTGGCCTTTAATTCTCCATTTATTCGTGTCTTTGCTAAACACAATTTTTAAAAAATATGAAAATTCTAAGTATAGTAGTTATAGAGATATAAAATTTTAATTTAGAGAGGTTTTCTTTATGTTAAAGCAACAAAATTATATATATTGCTGTCCATAGAAATGACTAGGATAATAATTATAATTGCTACTTTGTTAATTCCCATTTTCCTTTCTTTAAAAAAAAAAAGGTATAGCCACCTTGAAACTTCTGAGAGAACAAAACCTAGCAAGATAAATGATCCAAAAAATGTGTTGCCTTTTCATAAACAATTTTGTCTAATTATAGAAGTATATGTACTTACTTGCCAAGTGCAAAGCACTCCATCTTAACAGTTGTTCCCTTAGCAGCTGTAACCGTGAAAGGAAAATGGACCTCAATTTTAGGCTCATATTCTCCCATCACACCTGGGAAATAAAGAATAGACTTTAAGCATAAAATGAATCTTACAATTTATTTCCAGGACTTGAGACGTCACATGGAAAATAACTGTGGTTTTGTTAATGTGTGTTTGATCAATGCTGAATTTTTGATGCATTTAAATAAAAAGTTTATTTATTCTCAGTCATTAAGATGAAAACCTAGTCTCCCCTTAGGAACTGGGCTGCATGCCTGCTCAACACTGTGTAAAGTCGTAATTATTGAAAGTGTTAATCAACACTGGTAGTTCAGTTACTGATTAATTCTCCCGAGTAAAAAGTAACTATGAATGCTTCTCCTGGTAAATAATTGTGCTGTTTCTCTTTAAATTAGAAAATATATCAGAACTTTATCATTGCCAGGTAAGTGTATATTCAATTACTAAGTCAACATATATTGATTTTCTATAGTTTGTAAGGAATTTCATTAAGAATTGTGGAAATTACAAAGATTAATCAGACATGAATTGTCTCCTCAAATAAGGATATTCTCAAAGAGAAAATCAAGATATACTTAAGTATGGGAGCAAAACTGTATTTCAAAATGCCGTAGTGGAAGGTAGGAAGTGATGGTTGTCATGAATGAGGTGTCTTTAAAATGTTATGCATATAGAAAGGCTCATAAGTATAATTAGGATTTCCATAAGCAGAGGAAAGATAGGAAACAAGGCATATTGCCTATTGGAACAAAGCCAAAGACAAGGGAAACCACCCAAAATAGGAATATCAATTTTTCTACTACTGTTTGTTGGTATGTAAAGGGAAGTGATATGAGGTAAGTTTGAAAATATAGTGTCCAAATAGTAGAAAGATTTGATTATCAGATTTGATTTGAATGATAATCGGATTTGAAAGATTTGATTATCAGTGTTAAACCTGTATCTAACTTGGAGTTATTGGGGTTTTGGTTGATAGAGTGACATTACACAGAGACGTATGTATTAGAATTAGAATTGTCCATTACTTTATTCTAATATTCCAAGATAGAGGTGATAAAAATTTGAATTATTGTAGTAAAAATAGAAAATATGGGGAAAAAACAAGAAAGAATTGAACTGGTAAATTCGGTAAACAATGTGATAGAGGACAAGCCTATGACGGTATCAATAATGACACTAAAGTTTCCAGCTTCAGTGGTTTGGTGATGTCAATTAAAAGAAAATAAAGTGACAACTATAGAGTAGTTGTTGATTTTCAGTAAAGAGCAATAAGTTTATAATACTTAATACATATTCAGAAGTGAATATTTGACATATAGTGTAAATAAGAGAGTGAAGCTAGGATTGGGCTCCATGTAGTTGATAAACACTTGCTCTCATCATTTAGAGGTCGCTGGTAGTCTTCAGAGTTGATAGGACTTTTACCTACTAAAAGATAATGTACTAGGTGAGGCCTGGTGGACTCCATTATTAGTGCTTTTAGGTAGCCCTGAAGCTGATTTTCTCCTAAAAATAATCAGCAATGATTCGTCACGGATTTCTGTGAGTTGACTGGATTTGTGGTTAAGGATGTCTATTTTTACGGCATATATGTATACATTGCATTTTTATGGGTGCGTGGCATGGAGAATAATTCTTTTGTGTATGTGTGGTACATGTGAGGAAAGAGGAAAAACCCAGACAGGGTAAGATAGATACGATTGATGTGTAGGTAAGATGCAGTGAACAAGTGAAGGGAGAAAAGGCAAGGAAATCCTTTTAGAAGTTTATCATGCACATCTGAAATAAACCTTGAAGGAAAAATGTGGACAATGTTAGATGGAAAGTGTTTTAGCTCATTTAACAAGACTATCTTCACTTTTTGTGCTTTCTCTTTTACAAAACAGTTACGATAGAGAAATTTTCAATGTTTTCGTCACAGGGATTGAACTTCTAGACCTGGCTCTGACAAGCAGGATATAGATCAGTTATTTCTGAGTTTCCTTTTTCAATCTGTAAACTGGGAGGGTAGAAAGGAATTACCATTACTTTAGTGCCCTGCCCTAGCTGGATAACTCCAAATGTTTGTTGCACTTCAAGAATCTAATAGCAGGTAAACTATGTTAATACTATTATGTCACTCAAAAGAGATGTTTAAGCACTTCTTCTCTGTCTCTTTCTCAATAGTATTTTTCTCTCTACTTCTTTTTTAAATATTTCTCCATGTCCCTACTGTCACACTTTCCAGCTTTCATTTTATATCCTCCTTACATCGTTTTTGTTCTAGAGTCTCTCCTGAACAACTTGAATAGCAGGATTTGGTCCTCTGTTGATACTATGAACTCAGCTGAATGTATCCAGTAATAAATGTTTATTTTTAATATCCATTTACTTTTAAGGTCTTACATGAGGAATTGTAGACATCCTATTCAACAGGTACCTTTGTTTATATCAAGCCATTTTCAAAAATTCGTTTCTGATCCCTCTATTTTAAATTGATTCTATAGTCTTACTGATTCTAAAAATAACTTTTTTCAGTAACAATTGATTTATTCTAATGCATATTAAGTCTAACACCTTTGCCTACATACTTCTCTGTGAGCACTGGCAGTTACTGAATGTCCTACAGTGTTACAGAAATGCAGTCTTAATCAATTCTAGTTTATACAGTATTTCTGTGTAATTATATCTAGTAAGTTGTTCAGAGATCTCAAAAGAAAAAGATAGGAATTTCTAAGACCACTTCATTTTGATTTCCTTTCCCAACCTAAATATTTCCTTTAGAACCTATATTAACACATTTGTATTCATTCTATTAAAGCAGCAGCTAAAATAAACCTATATATTAAAACAAAATGAGGAAATTTGGATAATAGCTTTTAAGTTATACTACCTAATTTGAGCTGCACTGCAAGAGATTATAACTGGTTCTTTTTAATTTTACTCTGAGACCAATGATTTACATGTAAGGGCAGAGCTCTTCAGATATACCTTGCTCTTTAACAACTGATCACCATCAGCAATTAAGTTTTGACTTTACATTTCATGGTAAAATTATTTTAGGGCTAAAGTGGCCATAGCTTTGGCTGTGTGGTTTATTACATTTGTAGTTTTTAATATCGCAAGTCATGTGCAGTTTAGCTTGTAATTCTTTGTATTGAGTAGCATTTGATGCTGAAAGAAAGAAGAAAGTTCCATGAGATACCATATTGAAGATCAAAGTATCGGGCTTGTCTCTGACCATTATTATAAGCCTGAATACCTTGCAGCGTTACATCTCTCCTCATACCTTTGTCTTCTGGCTTACATGATTGCTGTACTTTGGAAGAACTCCTAATAAATAGAACCTTTCCAACTGGGAGTACATTACTCTTCTTCTATGCCTTTATGATTGTTAAGTTTCTTATTTATTGCCCTTAATTATAAAGAGGCAGAGTGCTTTGCCCTAAGTGGAAGGCCCTTTGCGGTAATGTTTCTACAAGCACGTTACAGAACAGGAAGTGAATGGCACCAGAAGAATATAGACAACAATTTCAGGACTCAGAGTCCAACTCCAACCCTAGTGATGAAAGATTTATGAAGGTGGGACTATGAATTTAATATTTCAATAGTTTCCTTAAGTCATTTTATGCACCTTAAGGAAATTCAAAGTTGGACCTTTGTTTCTGATTTTTATCATGTTACTTGTTAGCCTTAGGATTAAAGTATAGCAGAGTAACATGCCTGAAAAATGTCATACAAAAGGTCTAAAACCATATCGAATTCACTGGTAACTTCTCTTATCAGAGCAAATAATGTTCAAGCTGTATGTACTGTTATTCCTGTCAGACAGGCTTTTTTCTTAATTTACTCTGAGTTCTGTTCTAATTAGTATCTATGCAACAGCAGTTGTTACATGCTTCAAAGGACACTTCTCTCTGACACTCATAATAATACTCATTTCTAGGGTCAAGTACTCATGTTTAGGAGACTTAAAAAATATAGCTGAGCTAATGAGTTGGAAGAATTTGACTATTTTTCTTATGTCCAAATAACTGATATTTACATTTTCATCTTTAACATTTTTATCAAAACTATACAACGTGTCTCATGGTCCAAGAATAACAGAAAATTTCTCAGTGCTTCCTTTGGAAAATGCTTCTTCCATATTCTGTAACTGAGTGAGTGAAATAGGAACTGCTATATTCATACACAGGTTTTGCCTTCCTAGTCATAGTTATTAACTTGTGGGCACCTGACCCAAGCTTGGGCAATTAGATTATCCTACTATCCCACTGACAATGATCACTTTATGCATGGGGAGTGAAGGCTGGGATGTTTCAACTAAGTCCCAGCATTTGTTGGTGGTAAAAAAAAAAGTCCTCATTTCCAATGGCTACTGGAGCTCCACTCCATGGAAAAGGTAATCTATAACTGAAGATAACTAAGCCAATTTAGATAGAACTAAGTTAATACATAAAAGGAGAGACAGAAACGCCACTGGTAGCATGTCAGTTCCCTCTACTTTCTTGTTCTCCTCTAGGTTGAAAAAAATACTTTGGTTAAGCTATTTAAAGTTGGGCTTCTCAATTGCAACCAAGAGTTCTGACTGATATGACACCATGCCCAGCATAAGCAATAGGACCCAATGTCAGGTTCTATAGGTAGAGTGGTATCTGGAAAGGGAACAAAATAAAATAGTACTATGAGACTTATCTAATTTTAAGCATTTTACAATTTAGTAGAGGATGTAAATTCTAACAGTGGATTAAAATGATTAAAACAAATAATTGATAATTTGAAATAGGACGAAAAGATCCAAAAGGGCAGGGGAAGTGGGAGGGGAAGGGGAAAAGAAAGAAGGGAAAGGAAAAATTATGAGAAAAGAAAAAAAATGGAAACAACATCTCTGTAAATAGGGAAGGGTGGAGGGGGTAAAGTGCACACAAGGAATGGGGAAAAAATAAGAACCAAGATACATCATGTACAGGTACAAGCACCCAATGATAAATGTAAATGTATTGTATACCTAAAATATACCAATAAAAGGATTTAAGCCAAAAAAAATTCTAACAGTGGACAGAAAACATA